CACAGGGTAAAAACGGGGCATGGAGTGGGCGTCGCTGAGCTATGGAGATAAAGCAACATAGCAGCATGCAAATTCAATGGAAATGTTAATTTTTCAGTTTGATTTGCGGGGAGGGATAGCTCAGTGGTTTGAGCATTGGCCTGCTAAACCCAGGGCTGTGAGTTCAATCTTTGAGGGGGCCATGTGGGGATCTGGGGCAAAATCAGTACTTGGTCCTGCTAATGAAGGCAGGGGGCTGGACTCAATGACCTTTCAAGGTCCCTTCCTGTTCTAGGAGATGGGATATCTCTATTTATTATTATTAAAAAAAATCAGTTTTTGGCATCAAAAAATCAAAGATGTTTACCGAAAACCAAAATTTTATTTAACCTAAAAAAGATTTTTTAAATACTATTATATCTTTCTTTCTTTCTTTTACTGGAAACAGTTTTTGAAAACCAAAAATGTTTTGTTTTTTGTTTTATGAAAAAGTTAAAAAAAAAAAAAGTCTCAGGAAATATAAAAAACAAAAAAAATTCAGTGCAAAATAATTGTCATTTTTCAACCTTTTCTAATTATCGTATCTAAATATTCACTACTCCCATATCTGTGTAACAACAAACTGCAAATCAGAGACCACCAGCACTGCCAACCGCAAACATTCAAAAATCAAGAGGTTGGCTTAAAATCATGAGACTTTTAAAAATAACTTATGAATTTTTTTTTATTATGTCTGCTTTTTTTATTATGTCATGTTTTCAAGCTTTTCTCTGCAATGATGAGGACAAAAACTTACTTAAAAAAAAAAAAAGAAAGTGGAGACATTCCTAATCACATGCCTCCAGGAGCTGGAACTTTAAGAAAAGCACCCAATATTCTGAGACTCACAATTAAATCACCAGGTTTGGCAATGCTATAAGCACAGAAGCAAATTCTCCATCTTGCAAGGACAGCGTGGGGGGTACTAGGTATTTATCACCATGCACCAAGGCAACTCACAACTGTTTCTGACCAGCACTCTTCATGCTGCAATTTTCCCCACCTGCATACCACTGACTCCCACAAAAGATTAACATTCTTTCCCCCCCTTACAGCAAAAAAGGAACTCAAAGAAATCCCTTTCCAGTTAGTGCCTGATTTACCGTCTCGGTAACATTCGCTGCTGTACACCCCTCTTTATCACTACCCACCTCACAAATGTTAGTGGGCTGACAACTTGCTCCAGACATGTTTCTCCATATTGCCTCTTTCATCCAGGTGTACCTATGCAGGTTTATTTTGTTGCTCTCTTTCTACACATTGTGTTCACATACTATCAAAAGGAACACGGTAGATGATCTAAGGCAAATTTTCACTACTAGCTTTCCAAGTAAACTGCCCTGATATCATGTCCTATGGGTACAGCACAGGAGGATCTGGGATGTGGCTGTTGAGTCTTTCATACAGTTGGGCTGTAATCATAGAATCATAGAATCTCAGGGTTAGAAGGGACCTCAGGAGGTCATCTAGTCCAACCCCCTGCTCAAAGCAGGACCAGCCCCCAACTAAATCATCTCAGCCAGGGCTTTGTCAAGCCTGACCTTAAAAACCTCTAAATGAAAGTGCTCTGTATGTGTGTATAACTTTAAGGTAAACCTATCCCTCTCCTTAGCACGGTGACCTCTGGCCTCCAGAGCTGGCTGTAGCAAGAAGAACCAAAAAGCAAAACCAAAAAAACTTGGCCTGCATGAAGCCTGCAGCAGGGGTGGAGTCTGAACAGCCCAGCCATGGTTGCTGTTGTTTCCTATATCCCTCATTACCTAGACGTGCTGTTAAATTTAGAGCCCATTTCTGAATGGTGAATGTGATAAGCCTCAAGACCATAACCTGCTCTTTTCTGAGCATGACTATACAGGCAGCACATTGATTTCTTGCTCTCTCTCTCTCGCGTGTGGGTGCTAGGCCAGGAAATCAGCAGAAAGGGTGGCAACTGATGCCCTGTTCTTCATGACATGCACAAAAGTACCCTGCACACCCTGCGCTGTCATCACTGGACAAATCAGATAATGCAACTGCCTTCAGCTGCTCTAGGCAACAAGTTGGAGAATTCAAAACTTGCAGTCCCAAAAGGTGAAGACCACAGGTTTGATGCTACAGGCCTAATTCACTGTGTCTCGTGTGGCTACGAAGATTTTCTCCATCACTGCAGGTGGTTTCAGGAGACCGGGCAGGGTGTCTTTCCTCCCCCAAAGCCCATAAGAGGGGGAATTAAAGGAAAAAAGGCTTGGTGACTTGCTGTGTACTCACCATATGTAAAAATGGCAAAAGGGCCAGCTCCCAGTAAGTAAGCGCTAGCTAAGCAGAGCTGTTTGGGAAGTGGGTTTTGTTCCCATGACAACACTTAGATGAATTTTTTTCAACAAAAGCTTTTGGGCTTTTGTTGGAAGAAACAAACAAACCAAAATGCATACGTTGATTTGTTTTGCTTTTGTTTTTGGTATCTGAAAAGTGAAATGTTCTGTCAGAAAACCAAGAATTTTTCAATCAAATATCGTCAAAATTGGACATTTCCTGTAGGAAAAGCAATGTTCTGTTGAAAAAAAAATGTTGAATGAAAAGCATGATCCAGCTCTAGGCCCACTGAAAGCAGCAAATAGACTGAGGACCTGATTCTCTGTACTTTTGCATTGCTGTTAAACTGGCAGATTTGGCAAGCTGGGAATTCCCTATATGTCGGGGGGAACCTCGTGTGGTACAGACCAAATGCAACTGCCGTATGCTGCTACCATACCCCTAGTTCTGGGGCTAAGGGGCAAGGCCCAGGGAATGGTGAAAATCCCTCTGTTTTGGCTATCACTGGCTACTAGAATGGCCCCTCTTGGCTACCTAGACAGCCAAGCTTAATTCAGAGAGCATCTTCTAACTTATGCCAAGGGCCCCAGCATTGTCTGGAGCTGAGAATTGGTTCCTGAGAGCCTAGATGAAGTTACCAAGCTTCGCTCCTTGTTTTTTGCTGGACTTGGGAACTAAACACCTGAGTGGAACCTTTTTACTTAGAGGCTGGGAGAATCTCGTTACCCACATGTATTTTGGTGGTAACTGCACCAGTGGATTGCTAAGTGGGTTGTGGTTTTAGGTTTCATCCTCTCTATAACATACAGCAAATAAATATTTGCATTCTCCTCCTATTACATTGCAGCTATCATCTTTTTCATCCAGGGATCTCCAAGCACTGCGTAAATATCAGTGAATACCGGCACATGAGCTAGGTGTGTGTGACTATCCCCATGTTACAGATTTGTGACTAAATCACAAGGCCAGGACTGGTTAGAGATGAGAAGAGAACAGAGAGAAATCTGAACCCTGCACTCTAGCCCCCAGATGATCCTCCCACCTCACTGGGCCTGATTCTCATCTCACTTACTCCACTGCCACACCTCCATTAACATCAATTGAGTTCCCTCTGCTTTACACCTCTGTCAGTAGGAGAAGAACCTGGTCCATTATTTCTCTATACAGAAGAGCATGGAGACAGCCATTTCACTGCCAGAAGCTCCAACTTGACTGTCCCACGCTATGGATACCATCAGCGCGTTATCTGTCATTGACACCTAGAAGTAGGCTGGTCCTCCCATTTGGGCAGGACACCACTGGGCTGTAAAACGAGAAGGAACTGGGACTGAGTCACAAGTGTAATGCTTATTTGAAATCCCCCAAGACGAATCCTCATACAGGGCCCCTCCACGCTCCGAGCCCAAGGGTTCATGAGAGCAGAAGGGCGTGGAGCTAACAATTGCTGACTGAGATGAACTCTGTGTTCCCTCCCATTATGAGGCGCTCAATGGTCTGTCCAAAGTCACATTCAGATGCTCTCTGGATGGACAGGAAGAACTGTATAGACCAGCGGATGTTGGGGCCATGAACTCCTGGGAGCTAGTCAGTCCAAGCCAGCTGACTGCTATCAGCACGGCGTTGATTTCCAGTGGGAAACCGGCCAAGAGAAGTTGGCAGGGTTGTCTGAGGGGGAAAGGTGGAGGAGACAAGGGAGGGAACGGGCAAGGGAGGCATGGTGTGGAGATTGACAGCAGCATCAAAACCAAAAGAAAATAAAAGTCTGACATGTGGAGGGATCCCCCAGAAGCTGCCTCCAGACCAGCGGCAGGCAGAGATTCCTCTGAGTCAGGACAATTAAAAAAAATAGTTTGCCCCATTGCACCTCTCAAAGGGCATGTGTGCAAAGAGCAAGGGACGGCAGGGAACCACATGGCAGATCCCAGTGGTGAGCGTGGGGACATCAGAGAGAAACCCGAGAGACACCCACCAGCCCTGAAAACTGCGGTTTGGAGGGAGGGGAACTGGTCAGGAGAGGTACATGGATGAACGTGGACAGGGTCCCTCTCTGCCCCACAACAGCACTGGAGTGTGACATTTACAGCAGCATGATAAGAATTTGAAATGGGGAGGGGAGATCCTGTAGAGAATTCAAACACAGATCTCACATGTCTGCCTGCTGGCAGGGCCCTGAAGCAGACCGCTCTTAGTGGCTTACACTCAGAAGGTCAGACCTTTAGCGGAGAGAAATAAGCATGGCTCCCCTGCAGTCTAATGCATTACAGCAGCTGGGGATCTGGCCCAAAGAGCCTTTCTTTCCCCCCAGTGCCTGATTTTCCTCCCCCTAAGTCACTGTACTTTCTCCCCCGACCAACCCTGCTGCCACAAACCCATCCCCCGACCCCACCAGCTTCTCTCCAAACGCTTGTTTTTTTCCCGATGCCACCCATCCAGCGGGTGGGATTTTTCTCCCCTGTAGCCAGCAGCCGAAGCATCCACCTGCTAGCCACCTTCCAAACCTTTGTCTCTGAGCCGTGCACACCGTTCTGAGCATGAGACGATTAAGGGGAGGGGGAAGGGAGAAAATAGTATCGACAGAAGTAAATCGAGAAATCAAAAAACGTAAGCAAAGAGAAAGCAGTTCGAAAGGCAAAGTGTTCAGAGAAAGCCCTTTCCTGGATGAATCTAATTGTTTTGTTATCTTTACCCACCAAAGCATTTACTTTGGTTTGTCGCCCGATCCACAAACACTTTCGAGGAGATGACATTACCGAAAGGCAGGAACATCTGCATCAGCTCAGCATCCCCAAACTCCTGGGGCAGATGGTAGATAAACAGGTTACAGCCCTCTGGTCCTGCAGGTGAGATGGGAAAGAGAAGAAGGGAGGAGATTTGAATAAAGAATACCTGGATTGGACACACCTCCCTCTGCTGGGGTGGAATGCTCCACACTAGCATATTCTCTAGCAGTACTTCTGTACAGTCTATGTTTTAAATACATTCAGCAACGGGGGGCTTCCACCACTTCCTTTGGCAGACTGCTAAGATCTTGCCACTAGACTTCCTCAGCGGAGGGGATCTGGCAGTGGGGATCAACTTCCACAGGCGTTTTGGCTAATCCAGGCTCCGACCCACCAAATAACCAAAGTGATATTTACAACAGCTGCCTACCCTCCCTCCAAAAAACCCCTCACCCCAAGCCAAGATTCTTATGACCAGAGAAGGGAGGAGACCAGGAGACCCTACGGGGACCTTGCTATGCCAATCTAAGCAACCTGCCAGGTGATCAAATACTACAGCCATGGCATTAGCATAGAACTGATAGCTAGATAGCTAGATAGAGTGGCATGTATGGAGATGGAAAGAAAGAAGCTTTTCCTGGTATTCCGTTCAGAATTTTTCTTTGCTTCATTCATTCTCATTAATCTTAGTTTTACCTCCCCCCTGCATCCATCTCTTTGGACCACTTTGAATGGTCCCCCTCTCTCCCTGGTGTTCATAGGCAGAAGGTCAGTCATCTTTCTCAAACAGCTATTGAGGCGATCGGTGATGATGAGTGGGAACAGACACACAAACACATGGAACTCTATATTCAGCCACCTGCCTCTCTGCTCACACTCAGACAGAACCTGGCCAAGGCTGAAACCCTGAAGCCCACCCTGAAGAATGACCCCACGCCCAATACAGAAATTCATATTCTACACATTGGTTCCAGGCAGGGACCCACCATTCTCTTCCTGGGGCTGCAATAGATGCTAGAGCAAGAATTCTGGCAGCCTTTTGCAGCATGCGGTAGACTCTAACCTGGAGCTGGTTGGGAAAATTGTGATAGAGCAGTTTTCCATTGGAAAATGCAGTTCCGTCAAAATGAAAATGCTTTGAAAAATCACATAGATTTCGCTGAAATTTTGTTTCACAAAAATAGGAGAGGTGGGGGTGGAAAAGCTCCAAGAGTGTGGAAACTTTATGTTTTTGACATTTTTGGAATGAAACATTTTGATTTTCCTCTTCAAAATCACTTTTCATTTCAAGTTATGTAATGTATTGCAATTTATATGATAGAATTAAAAAAATCAAAATGGAAACAAAACAGAAAATTTCATTTTGGATCGATCAAGACATTTCAGTTTTGTCAAAATGGAAAGTTTCAATCGATCTCAAATGAATTGAGTATTTTGGTATTTTGGTATTTTCTTTCGTGGATCATTCTGAAATGTTCAGGTTTCGTCCTGATTTGGAACTAAAACAAATGTTGCAATCCCGAACTCCTCCATGAAATGGAATTTCCGGTTTCTGCCCTGTTCTACTCTTAAGAACATAAGAACGGCCATATCGGGTCAGACCAATTGTCCATCTAGCCCTGTGTTCTGTCTTCCAACAGTGGCAAATGCCAGGTGCTTCAGAGGGAATGACCATAACAGGGCAATAACTGAGTGATCCATCTCCTGTTGTCCAGTCCCAGCTTCTGGCAATCAGAGGTTTAAGGACAGCGAGAGCATGGGGTTGCATCCCTGACCCTCTTGGCTAAAGCCATTGATGGACCTATCCTCCATGAACTTATCTAGTTCTTATTTGAACCCAGTTATACTTTTGACCTTAACCCCAATGGTAGTTCAGTTTTGCTAACCAGTGTATGGGAGGGCCAATTCCTTTGCATGCTTTTGGGGATGCTCGCCTAGCACCCAGCTGTGCTCTCAATCCTGATTGTGAGAAAGACACAAAGGGTGAGGGGGAAGATCCTTGTGTCTCCCTTTACCACCACTATACACCTATCTGACCCAGCAAAGCAGGGCTTCTATCATTTATTGCTGGCGCACAGTGCGAAGTGGGGAAAGAAAAGGATTTTAATGCTCTCACTTTCTTCATCAGGGCATAATTATAGTGTCATAACACAGCAAATTACAACTTTGCCTTTCCTGTTAGGGAGGGGAGTTCGCCTAGGCGCTCCCACCTTTTATTGGCCATTACTCATTCCCCTGGCTGGCAGGATAAGTACGGTGAAGTCAGGATTCTGACAGATGCCCATTTAAAGCTCATTAAAATTCCTGGGCCTCAGCGTGATTGAAGTCACAGGCTCTCCACATTTCCTTTTGGATTAATGGAAAATGAAGCCCTAATGAATATTTGCTAAGCACAATTTTCCCCACTAATTTGCTAAAAGGACTGTCAGGAAGGAACAGCTGATCCTTTGCATTTCGTGCATTTCCTAGAGGTTGCGAGGTTGCTGCAGAGTTTATTCCATATGGGGGGATGCCAGTGCACCAGGGTAATTAACTAATTAGGCACCCAGTCGTCTGCTTAGCTAAATTACTTTTGAACCTGAGTGGCCACCCTAATTCATACAAAGATTTACCCTACATCTGTACCTTCTTCAGGGTTATCCCCTCCCTTCAGTAGTGACTGCTGTTCAATCTCCAGGAAAGAGAGATGCAATTCAGTTCAGTTCAATGAGACTTTATTGTAGAGGTGGGCAAAAAAAAAAAAAAATTCAATTCAGTTTTTGTTGAAAAATGCATTTTTTAAGGCTTGAAACTGGGTCACATTTGACAAATAGCTTTGGTTGAAATTTGTTTTTTGAAAGAGTCGAATCCACGTTTTAAGTTTTTTGAAACATTTCGTTTTAACTTTTTGTTTCGAAACATCATTTTGGTTTCAAATATGACCAATTTTAAAAAGCCCATGCACGCCCCAAAAAGAGGGTGAAAAACACCCAAAATGGCTGAATCAAAATGAAGAACAACAACAAAAAATTCATTTGGAGTCAACCAAAAATGTCAACTTGAAATCAATTGAAAAACCTAAAAAAACCAAAAACTCATTTCAGTTCAACTTGAAATGTTTCAGCCCACTGGAAATATTTTTTATTTTTTGGGGGTTTTTTCGATTTGATGAAAAAAATTTGAAAAATTATTTTGGTTTAAATTGAACCGGATTTTTTTGAGCTCTATTTGCTCAGGAATATACAAATGTTGCCAAAGCATGAGATGAAAACAGACCTCTTGGGTATCTATTAGAGGTGGGTGAGAGCTCCCAGGAGAGAGAGATAGACAGATGCATTTCCTGAAGTCTTCGATATATTGTAACTGAGCGGGAATCCTATCCTGTTGTAATCTGACCTGGGATGTACCTAGCGAAACCTATGAAGGCTTAGATATAGTTGGTTGAAACAGGGAATGAGGTCCTGAACTTTAGCCTTCCTCAGGTTTGAAAGTTGGATCCGCAGTGTGGAAACCTTTATAAGTTAGGCCTGAAATCAGCATTGTCTGATTCTACTGTGGGATCAAGCACAAAAGAGGAAGATGGAAGCCCCTGCTTAAAGTGCAGCCATGTTCTGAACCGCGACTGTAACTGCGACACCGTGGAGTTCCATATAGAATCACAGGACTGGAAGGGACCTCGAGAAGTCTTCTAGTCCAGTCCCCTGCACTCACTGATTCTATCTCAGTGAATCAGATCCAATTGGCTCAGTTCTCAAGTCAAAAGAGTCTTTTCTAATTGCCAGCCCTGCAAACTGAAAAAAACTCAGCTGGGATCGTTTGGCTTGTTATACCATCACCAGCAATACCGATGTGGCGATCAGAATTCAGGGGACAAGCCATTTTTTATCCGCCTGTCTGTCTATCTACCCATTCATCTATATGTCTTCCATCACAAGTAGTAGTTAACCGCCCCCTTGTTGTTAAAGAGATAACAAAACAACCTCTCTCTCCTTTGCCTTATCTGCAGGAGTAAAACCGAATAGTGTGTATGTGTGTGTGTGTGAGAGAGAGAGAGAGAGAGAGAGGAACATACTGAGAGAAAGCTAAATCAAAGAAAAGAGTTGTGTTTATTTTTGAATGCTGTTAAGTCTTTCTCATCTCTTGTGGCAATGAGTTCCACAGTCTAGGTCCAGCAGCTAGGGAAATTGTATCTCCCATAATCATGAGTTTCCTTCTTACTAGTCAAGAGTTTTATGGTTTATATGGAAAGTAGCTGTCATGGGAAATCAGGGCCATGGAGAGAGAGAGAGAGAGAGAGAGAGGAGATCTCTCCATTAGTTAAGGCTACTCTCATGGAGGGCTTTGAATATCAGGACAAAGAGCTTGAGTTGGACTTTGTATTCAGTGGAGAGCCAGTGCAGAGAGAAGAGCACCCAGTGCTCTTCTCTCTGCACTGGCTCTCCACTGAATACAAAAAATACCTGGAGACCTGTGTAGTTGCACTGAGAGTTTAGGGCCACAGAGTAACTGTCAATGGCTCACTGTCATACTGGGAGGGTAAATCTGGTGGAATCCCGCAGGGGTCCCTCCTGGGACCTGTGCTAGCCAATATTTTCTTTAATGACTTGGATAATGGCTTGAAGAATATGCTTGTAACATTTGCAGATGATACCAAGATGGGATGGGTTGCAATTACTTTGGAGGACAGGATTAGAATTCAAAATTACCTCGACAAATTGGATGATTAGTCTGAAATCAACAAGATGAAATTCAGTAAACATAAGTGCAAAGTATTACACTTAGGAAGGAAAAAGCAAGTGCATAGATGCAAAATGGGGAACAACTGGCTAGGCAGTAGCACTGCTGAAAAGGGCTTGGGGGAGACAGTAGATTACAAATTGCATAGAAGCCAACAATGGGTTGCAAAAAAGACGAATATCATTCTGGATGTATTAACAGGAGTGTCGTACGTAAGTCATGGGAGGTAATTGTCCGGCTCCACTCAGCACTGGTGAGGTCTCAGCTGGAGTGCTGTGTCTAGCTCTGGGCTGCTAGGAAAGATGTGGATAAATTGGAGAGAGTCCAGAAGAGGACAACAAAAATAATAAAAGGTTTAGAAAACCTGATCTATGAGGAAAAGTTAAAAAAAACGGGTATGTTTAGTCTTGAGAAAAGCAGACGGAGGGGGCAATCTGATAACAGTCTTCAAATCTGTTAAGGGCTGTTATAAAGAGGATGGTGATTAATTGTTCTTCGTGTCCACTGAAGGTAGGACAAGAAGTAATGGGCTTAATCTGCAGCAAGCAAGATTTAGGTTAAACATTAAGAAAACTTTCTAACGGTAAGCGTAGTTAAGCTCTGGAATAGGCTTCCAAGAGAGGCTGTGGATTTCCTGTCATTGGAGGTTTTTAAGAACAAGTTAGACAAATACTTGCCAGGGATGGTTTCGACACGGGGGCCTGGACTAGATGACCTCTTGAAGTCCCTTCCAGCCCTTTATGTCTATGATTCTATGAATACTATCTGAGACCTTACACCCCAATCTTTCCCACTGAATTCAGTGAGGTTGCAAGTCAATTCCATGACTAGCTCTTTCCTGGCAGTGTTAATGATATTTTACAAAGCAGGACAGAATCAAGTTCACTCTCCCATAGCTGCCCTGGCTTTGCTGTACTAAAACCTAAATGAGCCGATGTGACTCAAAGACACAGAAGGTGTGATTCTGATCTCACACAGGTGTAACTCCAGGGACTTCAAAGAACGTATTCTTAATTTACCTCTGTGTAAGTGAGAGGCGAATCAGCCCCTCAGGGAGTAGAGATGCTGACATTTAGACACAGTCACTCTTATGACCATCAATGCACTTTAAGCAGAAATATCCATGAGCCAGGCAAAAGGGAAAGCAATAGGACATAGGTGGGAGATGAATGGATTCCACATTATATGCCAATATTTTCTTCAGTATGGAATCCTCCTCTCCTCATAGAAATTTCACTTATAGGGCATGCAGCAGTGGAAATTGCATATAATTTAGAACTGCCTGATTGCAATGCTCCCCCAAAATGCATCCATGTCAAATGTTCTCATGAAATGAAAATGCCAAAGAACTTACATTTGGGACCATCAAAATGTTTCATTTTGATATTGTCATTTCGATTTGTTTTGTTTTGACTTTCATATTACGTTAAAATAGTCACCGGTGTATGTTATAGACAATGTTAAATGTAATATATAAAATGAAAGATTAAAATTAACATTTTAATGTAGAATGCACGTGGACACAGAATGAAGCAGAATGACATCATTGATACCAAATGTTTTGACACTATTGAAATGAAATGTTTCAAATTTTGTCAGAATTGGCACATTCCCATGAATCGTTTCTGATTTGGACGAAATAGGACTTTTTGAGGAATGCTTTTCTAGATCCGCCACTGCTGGCCTTTACCGTATACAACGTAATCAAACCTTCTGAATTATGCTGCCCTCTAGTGGCTGCAGCCCAGAGAGGACCTAAGCACGTACCCCACAAGTGTGAACTTTTCTATAGGTTACCAGTAACGCCTGATGATGTTACACAACAGATGGATAGTGGACGAGAAGAGGGTCCAAAGTGATGAGGCATTTTCTGGTCTCTATGTAACTGGGGGGGGGGGTTGGGGGGGAATACAATGCAATGGGGTGACTTGCTAGGTATGGAACAGAGAACAGCCTGTTTACTTACCTTCTCTCTGTTGCTGTGGGATCATGGGAGGCGGCTGTGGAAACGCTTGGCTAATCTGGCCATAAGCAGCAGGATAAGCAGCTATAGGAGAAAGAAGGGGAGAGAAGAAAGATCGAAAGATTTCAGCAATGGGGAGTCAAGACCTTTCATCCCAATAACCACACATGCATGCATCCGAAGAAGTGGGTATTCACCCACGAAAGCTCATGCTCCTAGACATCTGTTAGTCTATAAGGTGCCACAGGATTCTTTGCTGCTTTTACAGATCCAGACTAACACGGCTACCCCTTTGATACTTGACATCAGGAGCTGTGTGCACATGTGTATGTGTCTGTGGGGCAGATATGAAGGAAGAAATTGCCCCACACTGGGGCACTGCAGAGGGGGATGTATATTAAGAAGCATCAAGGATGGATCCCATTTCATTGTTAAAGCCTGAAGGAATCAGTTGTTAATGATATTAACCCAAACACCGTTTTAAGCGACAGGAAGTGAATTTCAGGTAGATAGCACCATGTAGCAGAGGATTTTCTAGGGTTGGATGGCAGGGGACCAGCTGGAGAACACTAGGCTGGGGAGGAGGGACAGCTTCTAGCCATCAGGAGGTGGAGCCAGGTTGGGATTCTTAACAGGAATCAGCCCCATCTTCTCTCTGCCTGCCCTGCCCTCCTGATATGACCCATCTCCCACTACAGTTCTGGTGGCTGACATCTCCCGCCACAAAGTTCTGCTTTGCTCTCCCTACATTTTGCTTTGAGTTTCCGGTCCAGGATGGGGGGATGCAAATCCCGTTTGCCCACACAACAGGCATGCCCTCCTCTACCGTTCCTTTGCACTCGAGAGAGAATGGATGGGTCGAGGACGAGCTGTTTTAGACTGGCCCACGAGGAGTAGCTTGGAAAAGGAGCCTGAAGCTATCGCATGGATTTGCTGGATTCCTAGCAGTGGGGAGGCAGATTGGCTATGGGACTTTGAAGAATGTGCCCTATATTGTCTGCCATGTTATCTCATCACTTCAAGCTCTTCCTACCATCTGATCAGTAGACTCCAGCCACTGAAAGGGAAGGGGTTGGTTCAGACACTTGTGGGGAGGGTCTGGGGTGAGTAACTAACTGGGGCTGTGGGCTTCCTAACACAGGGAAGGTGATTGCAGGATGGGGTTTATCGCCTAAACAGACGAGAGCAGCTCAGCCAGGGAAAGGTTCGGACACAAAGAGGTCCCTCCTGCTGGAAGCCCAGACTGACCTTCTCACACAGCACAACCACCGCTCAGGCTTTTGGGGCCTCATTTTGTCCTTTCGCACATTGCGCTGCCATGGTGATGGGGCCCCCGTCTGACTAAGCCTCAAGGACTGGCTGACGCTGCATTCCCAAAACTCCCCTTGGCATTCTAAGGGCATAAAGGTGGCAGGATGGGGCCACTAAAACCCCCTTTCTACAAAGAGAGAGACTCATGCATTGACTCACACACACGCAGACACTCCCCCTCCCCCGAGAGGGCAAGGGGAGCCATTTGGTACTACAGTCGGCAGATTACATGCCTGGCTCTCAGAAACACAGCGTGAGGGCTGCCTGAGTCCCAGAGAGAGGGGGAAAGGGTATACGTGTGTGCAGAGGGGTTAATTAACAGCTCAAAGGGTTGAGCTGCCGCCCATCCATCAAACTTCACGAGCAATAAATGACAATAACTAAAACACCAGCAAATGAAGCTTTACATGGAGAATTAAATTAAGTTCCCAGATACAGCCCTGACATGAGATAATAGCCATTCCTCAGCGGGAGCCCGCGGCCGCCCTAGTTACCACAGGAAATAATGACTTTGGGGTTGCGGCTTCCTCATGGTGTTAGCTTGGGTCACCTCATAAGGGGATGTTGAACACGCTCTGCGCCCAGTCATCCCGGCTGGTGTCAGTCCATCAGTTTCAAAGGAGTGACTCTGGTGTGACAGGGAGCAGAGGCTGGCCTTGTTGGGAAGCTGCTGGGAAATGTAAACCAATTTCTCAGCTGGGGAAAGGTTGTGTGGGGCTCTACCATTGGCATCCTCCTCCGGCCGTGACACAAGGGAGACATTTGCACAGTGACCACAGAAAGCGGGAAGCGGAGGGGCTTACGGGCCTGATTTTCCTCTCGCTAACAGCGGTGTCAATCTGCAATGATTCCACCACACCACACAATGTAAGGGCCTGATCCGTCTCCCACTGAAGTCAACAGAAGTCTTTCCTGGCCTTTCGAGGGGAGCTGGATTGGGCCGTGGAAGCAAAGCTAGGCCCGTATGTTTTGTTTTGGGAGGAATGCAATCTCAGACCCCTCTGCCCTGTTCCTGGTGCTGCCCCTGGGAATGGCTCCCTTCACCCAACCCCCTCAGGCATGTTCAGAGGCTTTGGGGACATGAAAGGTTTATTGGGAGAAAGTGTTAATACTAACGACCTGCGTACTGCTGCACTCCAGCGTAGGCTTGTTGCAAGGGGTCTGCTGCAGTCGGGCTCTGTGCTGTGGAGACAGAAGAGAGAGAGGGAATAAAGGCATTAAAATATCACGTTCACACTGGCTTTCTCTCTGCTCAAGTGTTTTGCGTGCGGGACGGATCAACCTGGAGAGAGAAACCCACAGAACAGGTGCGGCACGTGCATCCCACACAACAAATTACACTATGTTTGTTTTACCTACCCATGAAAGAAGAAGGGTTTTGTCAGCCCTTCGTGGAGGGAGGGGAGGGGATGGGGGTCTGAAATGAAACAGTCCAAAATAGCTTTTGGTCCTGAAAGTGGGATGGACTTTTCATAAGAGACGTTTCTCTGGAGAGTTCTGCTACTTCCCATTCCTACCATGAGAACCCATCTTGTGGGATTGTGGGACTTCTACCTTGCGCTGCCTGGCAAAAAGTGACTCCAGGCACACGCAGGTATACACGATTTATCTCGTTCGCAGCAATGCTGCACACATCAATTGTTCTTGGGCTCAGCCCCATTCCCTGATCCTCAAGAGACAAACCTTTCTACATTCCCCTCTGGAACGCCTCTCATTCCTCTCCCAGAAGTGGAGAGAGGTACAATAATAAAAGAAAAAACAAAGAAAGGAAGAGAATCCTTTCACAACCAGGCCTCTCCTTAATTTGTTGCCTCTAGCTTTAATGTTACTCAACCATAACGGTCACAAGACAGACGCCCGGGGGTGTAGTGCACTGAGGCAAGAACCAAGGACTTGATGAGTCTCTACTTTTTCTTACAAACAATGCACGTGTCAGGGTGAGGAGCTGTACGTGGGAGACGGAAGGTGTGAAATGAAAGGAAGAGCCTGGATTTGGAGGACACGTCATTATTTTCCTTCTAATAATCAGCACTAGAGATAGCCCTGAACCAATCCCAAATTTGGGAGACAAATTTAGATCCTGGAGTTTCTCTAACTATACCATTTATCCAACTTATTATTGCTACTATTTATTTGTGTTACTTAGCACCTCAGGACCTCACTGTGCCAGGCGCTGTACAAACACAGCACAAAAAGTCCCTGCCCCCACAAGCTTATAATCTTAGCATAGAACAAGAGGCAACTGCTGGACACAGACAGACAGATGGGGAGCAGAGAGAAACAAAAGCTCATTTGCTCTCTGAAGCCTCCCAGCGCTCTTTATAAAATTTTGCTTAACCCGCTGCAGAAATGCAGCCACCTCTGTGGCAGAATACGGCAGCTGTTTCAAAGGGCATAGCAAGGCTGGCCAACAGCTTTAGGAGAGGAAGCAGCCAATCTCTGGGTAAACCACTTAGTCCCCTTCCTAGCTTCAAAGGGCATTTTCTTTCTACACAAACCTCCCTCATGCTCTCCTAAAAGTGTTTCTTTTTGTGAAACTTAAAAGTTTAGTTCAAGTACAGCCAGAGCTGGTAGGGTTTTTTTTCTCCCTCCCCCCTCTGGTTGATGAAAAAAAAATGTTGGATAAGCTCTTTCTTTATCTGCAGCCATAAAATATTTAAAGCAAAGCTTGACTGAACCTCCAGTCCAAATGTCACCTTGGCCCTAATATTTCACTTCTTGTTATGAGTTTAATTTGTATTTATTGGTGCTGCACAGTTTTACATTTATGTGGCCCCTCCAGGCTTTGTACTTTTAAGACAATCCCTTAGGGAGCAGCTACTTCCCCCCTCCCCTGTCTCCTTTCTCTGAGAATGGAGGTGTGGCTGCAGGCAAGGGCTCAGATGGCGCAGATGACGTGGAGGTCTCGCAAGAAAGTCTGGTTGCCCTTGCTAAGGCTAAGGAGAGACACTGAATGTGTGATAGGGAGGAGTACGGGCCGGCTCTTATCGGCCCACTGATTTTGGGAGAGTGCTGTAGCTACCCCGTGTGTCGCCCTTCCCATCTGATTTGAGCCGAAGTGTCGAAGGACAATATTAACCATAATGGAGGTCTTCCTAGTTGACTCGCCTCACCAGGGCTTGGGACAAGGGCAGAGGCAAGTTGCACATATCTTAGAGGGTAGAAACCGACTCTGGACAGCTCTCAGAGTGAGTTTGAAGGATCTCTTTGACTGGTTGGGCTGCAAGAATGGGTCATGTGGGTAAAGGCTTAGAGCAGGGACTGGTGTCAAGATTTATGGGAACCAGCTTTGCCACAGACTGGCTGAGGACAAGTCTCTAGGATGGGTCTACACTGAGATGTAAGGCCAGGGTTAGCAGATCTTGAGTTAGCAGACCCAGGTTTGATAACCTAGGGCTTGAGCATCTACACTAATTTATAACCCCATCTTAGGAATTGCTGAACCCTGGGTCCCAACTGCGGGCTCCAGTGTCTACACTGCATTATGGGGGCCCAACTCCAACCATCCATATAGCAGACTTCCTCGTGCCCTCCCAAAATGTGGCCCCTTTAGCCCTTTGTTCATGGTGCAGTGTAGGAAAACTTCTCGACTGTCCACCAAACTTGACTGTCCAGGGGACAAAGAAAGTCGGCTCGTGGGATTCTTTTGGTGGACTCCCAGAGCACGAGTCCAATGGGCTGTGTCTACACTGCAAAGCAATAGGGCTGGAACCCTGGATCCCAGCTTGACTCAGGCTCAGGCCCATGGGGTCCTTGGGACCCTGAGTCCAAGCCCCAGGTTAGCATGATTTATGTGTAGACAGAATGGGGGTTAGGCTTGAGGCTAAGTTCAAATCTGGCGCTTACATCGCAGTAAGTGCATACAGTGCACTGTAGTCTTAGACTATGCTTCTGCACATGTTTTTGCTCAACCCTCCTACCATCCACACACAACCTTCAAGAACATGCTAGTTTGTGCTTTGAACCCACGCTCAACTACACGGCTGAAGGTAGGGTTAAAGCCTGAGCTGTGCTTTAGCTTGGGCTGGAACCATCCCATTTTGCAGTGAGGACACAGGCAAGATCACGCGAATCCTGATGGTCCTCCACTGCCTTCCCACAATTCCCCCTGAGGGAACAGACAAGTTCTCCTGAAATTGTCAGAATTGCCTGGGAAAATCCTAGAGTGTTTCAGCATAAAGAACTAAGGGCTATGCCCCCAGGTATGCCCCGGGCGAGTACAGAGGACACAGTTGTGGGGCTATGCTTAGCTGTGGGGACGCTCACACCTGGGCTAAGTTAACCTGAGTGCTCAGCTGCAGGTTTCGATCACCCAGGCTAATGATGCAGTGTGGAAGTACCCTTAATTTATACATGCCTGAGTTTATCTATACGTAAAATGGGTAAATACTGTGTTATCACAACATTCATCTCCCCTTCCAAATATAATTTAGTCCATGCCTTGAGTGCTAGGTGAAACCTCCCAGTAATAACAAAGCTTTGTGACCACCAGAAGATCTCAAGGTGCCAATTACAACAACCCCTCCCCTTCTGTGTGCTGGATAAATATTTGGAGTACAGTTAGCTGGAAACATTTTTTTGTCGGAATTTGCTAATGAATCAAAATAGAAACACTTTGCAGAGATGGTTCAGTTCTGACAACATTCCTTCAGACACCAGGCAAAGCTCTGATACAACCTGCTGTCTTGCCCAGCAGGCTGCTGGGGGGGCATAGGTTTCCGCTTATGTGGGCTTCCCTGGGTTGGGGACCCCAGAGCTTCCAGGGTCTGTGGGTCCAGGGCAGCTGGCCAGGGACCCTACGTCTCCATCCCCTTTCACGGAGAACTTTGAAATTTGTAGTTTTCGTTCCTAATCGGAACAAAGCCAGATTTCGAGCTACCGAAATCCTCAGCTCTATGGAATTATCTTTCTCTGCCCTACTCTAATCTGGAGCCTCCTTTTATAAACGTACTAAGGCACAGAGAGGCTCATGATGGCCGGCTCTTGCAGAGATGACAAACTCTGGCAGCCTTACGGAATCTCATCCTCATCTCTGACAATCAGACTTCGTCCACTACCACACAACCGCTCAGTGGCAGAGCTAGGAACAGAAGCAGGCTTCCGGACTCCTAGGTCCCTTGGTCTGTCTCCAGCATCCGTGGGAAGCCCACCTAGCTTATAAGCCACATTCTCATAATCAGGGCCAAGGCAATCTGCTTAGGAAACTTAATTTTAAATTACTTTTAACCTTTTAAGATTAAATATTAAAAAACGGCAACATGTTTTATTTAAAGGGTTTGGAACAACAGGCCCCTAAATGCAGCTCTGGGCCCTCCCACGCAAAGCTTTTAGAGCTTGTAATTTCCCTCCGCCTTTAGGAGACTTGTCACATGGGCGTTATCTAACCGTGAAGCTGTGGGTTTCTCACTTGATGCTGATCTCTCCACGGATCATGTAGAGAATTCCCCCTGGCCCATGGAAAGTTTCCCTATCGATTTCAGTAGGCCCTGGAACGTTACTGACAGGTAAGGAAGATACAGGATTCTAATGCTTTCGCGTTACTGCTGGCACCTGGGCATAAACTCAGCCCCAGCCAATCTGTACAGACCTGCCAGGCAGGGAGTGGTGTCACGGTGAGAGCCGATGCCCTGTATCTCCACACTAGCAAAGAGACCTGCAGGGAGGCAACACTCCAGCAGCTTGGGGCTCTGGGAACCATAAAACCAGCTTCATTCTGTACTTCATTCCTTGCCCAGACCCCTGGGAAAAGACGATGAAGGCTGAAGATCGGTAGTGTAATGATTCCCCTGGCTGAATCCTAATCTGTGGGGTTGAACCTCTGCCTGGTGGATCTGAAAGCTTCTACTGCTTGAGCTAAAGGACCCGGCTTCCTTAGCTCAAAAGCTGTAGCAGATTCATAAAGCTCTCAGCACAGACTAGGCACTAGAGGGAGACAGAGCCATGCCGTGTTAATGTGTGCTGCAGCCAGCTTGGATCTCAATTCACCTATAAGTGAAATGAAACAGGAGTTAGGATTTAATATGGGCCCGAGCTACACAGTTGAGATCCAGATCCAAACTCTCCCAGAGTTTGGTTGTGTTTGGATCCTGGGTTTTGGCTGGGTTCATATCTCTAGTTAGAATTCAAAGCGAAGGGGGTGTCTGAATTAATTCTTGGTGTCCTAACTAGAAGTGTGTGCAGGG